TCGGGCTGAGCGCGCTCCGGGTAGGAAAAAAATATCGATGTGGTGGGCCCTAGGCATAGTTCCCACTAGGGAACCTGCTCTGATACCATGAGAAGACTGAAACGAGAATGATTGAGTAAGAAACGAAAGTGATACAAATATGCAACTCTAGAAATGTGTACCCCATATAGGCTACCCCACTATAGCCTACACAACATTATAATTTGACATAGGAGCCATAGGTTTAGTAGCTTAGTGATCGAGTTCGAGGGTAAGGAGAAGTGTTGAGAAAGTTGAGAAGGGAGGGGTGTTCACTATAGCACAAGAGTACATATAGCAAACAGAGCATGCAAGGTGCACCACCAACTAGAAAGTTATATGACTACAGTATTCTACACTATAGGCACTTATAGAACAATATATAGAATTATATATTAGTCTGACAGTAACATATAAAGGGAGTTACTACAGGTGTGAAACATATTGTAACGGTTACCATATGTTCTTGGTGGTGCGAGATTTACGAAATAAGAGTGCGCAGAATGCAATAACACGGAAGTGAGAACAATTACTGCGCAAATAGTTGACTCTATTACATGTATATCAAAGATTAGTTAGGCTGGATTCGCGAGACCGCGAATGGTTGGGTGCAAGTTCGGGGTTGGAAAACCTGAAGGCGACGACAGGGACGTTCGAAGGGCGAGGTCATCGGACCGAGCCTTTATCTCCAAAAGTTGGAGTTGTACGCGCATAGAGTGTTTTAGCAAGGAGTTAGAAAAAATCCTTCAACTTCCCCTCCTCCCCCTCCCTTTAAGAAAGGTCGATATCAGCCCAGCGGTGGCGGAAAAGGTAGTCCCGTAGTACCAAATGACATCGTAGTGAGTCGTTCTTGACCCACGTATCCAATTGACCAATTAAAACAGGAAATCGACATGACTTCTTTTCGGCGTTACATGCATGCGATGATTCAAGAGTAGCGGGTCTGCCACATGCCGAACACTTGGCACGACGTTGGGGCGGGCGACGTCGGGCGACTATGGTGCAGCATAATGACATAGCAGGCTAACGTAAAACGCGCCAGAAAATTTTAGTCGACCGGTAGTAACAGCTTCGTCATGACAGGTGTCAATATCTTGACGTTGCGGAAGGGTCCCAAGTAGCGGGGACGAAGCTTCGTCGGCTGGGGCAGGCAAAGATTTTTTGTGTCCAAGAGGACCATGTGTCCACTGTGGTAGGGTAAATTCATTCTATGCTTATCAGCATTGCGGCTAGCGAGAGTATTTGCTTTCTGGATAAATTATGTTGCTTTGCCGCGAGCTGACTGGTATTCCCTGACGAATCACTGCAAACGCGGTACCAGATTGTCGAGAGTCGTTGATAATGGTGTCAGTAGATCTGCACTGTGGATGCCCGATTGATCCTGGAGAGGGTTACAAGCGCGTTCGCCTGGGGGGTTATGGGCGCACTGACCCGCTACTGAAACAAGCCATTTTATCCCAATGGTCTAGTGGTTGGGATTCTGACAAATGGTACCACAGGGTCTATTCTATCATTTAGGCAAAACGGGGATTGGTTAGTTGTCGTGGAGTATGCGTTATTTGATGCAAATTCCAACATCGGGAGCGGGTCCTCCCTTTGGTCAGGACGGGGCAGTTGGTGCGAATAAGCTGCTTCTTTGCAAAATTTGTGATTTCTATGGCCACGTCTTCTGCCAATATTTTGATGTGAATTTTGGGTCTTGCTCACTGATGATCGCCGAAGGTAACCCGTGTAGGTGTATTTTTGCTATTATGGTCGTGCGGCATGGTGCAAAATGCACCATATTTGTTAAACGGTCAACGTCGACTAGAACTGAATCCTTGTTGTGAAGAGGAGAACGAGAATGGTGAACTATGAAGCGAAGTGAGTACAAATAGGAAACCCTAATTGGGTTGTACCCCCTATGGGATACCCCACTATAGCCTACACAAAAGCATAAGCTATAATGTTCTGACACACCCCCATAGGCAAAGTGGGGGCATCACAAAAACCCTATGCCAAGTTTGGACGAATTTTGATTGGGATTGTCTTCGCGTAAAAAAATCGGGACCGAATTTTGACCGACGGTTTGAGTCATTTGATAGGAGCTCCGACACACATCTCGCGACAAGGCTTGGCTCGGGTCAAGTTCCAGTTTGGCACGCGTGCTGTTCCGGCTGACATTCGCGCGCAATCTGTTTAGGGTCAGTTTTGTGACCAAATCATTTAAAAATGGATTTTGTTTTTGTTTTATTCTGGGAATTGAGGATTTCAGAATTACATTCAATATTCGCGGGTTACAGCTTCCATTATTCAGCATTCTAACAGCCAGCAGTTTTAACACCCAGTCAAATAGTCTACGCAATGGTGGGCCCTGCAAGCCCCCGGTAGGCAAGAACAACATCTCCAAGGTCGCCATCGTCGATGAGGAACTTGTTCGAGAAGACGAACGCACCCTGAGCCGGATCGTGTGGGATGCGTCGCTCCACAACGGCAAAGTGTATCATCTGTTTGACCTTGTCACACCACTCGAAGTAGTCCGGCCTGTTTTGTTCCGGCTGGGCCGGAATACGCTTGCGGCGCTTGTCCTGCAGAAGGGGCCACTCGATCTGCAATGTGGTGTAGGGTTGGGTGGATGGTGTATGAGGGGAGGTTATGGGCATATGATCCAACTGAAAGCAGTGAAGACGTCACACCCTACGTAACCGCAAACGCCTAAGCGACCTGGGTTTTAGATGAAGTACAGGCGAGGAGTTTAGGGGATGAGGCATGGGTGTAGTGTCACTTATCTACCTCCTTACCGAAACAGGCCCCATGCCACCATGCGGCTCTTGAACTTGGTGAACACGACCCCGCTCCTCTTGAAGGAGAGCTTGAACGCATAAGCAAACAAGGGGTTGCTGAAGGGCGTTCCGGTGGCCTTGTCAAAGTGCCAGTTGAGGGTCCACTGTTCTGCATTTTGGGAGGGAGCGTATGGGTTGGAAAGGGGGTGCACATAGATCAAGTGGGGGGGTGAGAGACAGGGTCAGAGTACCACTGCACGGTTATTTGTAGCTGCTGACTGGCTTATGGGCAGGGGGATATGGTGTGTTTGAGACGCACATACCATCTCTGTACTCGGCCAGGAGCTGCTCGTCGTTGAACCACTTCTCCGGGCGTAGCTCAGTGGGCAGGCTATCCACCGCATTGGCGTAATCGGAGAGACCCATGCCGGCGTACGTTGCTGGCCTGAGGGTGCTATTGATTGTTGACCTGGTTGATGACATCTGGCGGTTGAAGACACCCATGGTTGACTTGTCGTTGTGCAACCACAGCAGCTTCATTGACTCTAGCCCTTCGTGAGACAAGTGGACAGTGAACGCCTCGAACACTTCCTCCGGTGCAGGGTAATACTGAATCTTCTCCGGGGGGTTCAGAAACAGGAGCTGAGAGCACACTAAGTAGGCTTTGCTCTGCGCATGGGTGTGGATTTACTACACGACACGGGGAGAGAGAAACCATCAATTATGACTCTGGCCGCGTGACCAACCCTCCCGCGTCCGCCACGTCAGGGAGGAACCAGCCCCACTTGCCACGTCACATCCACCCACCCCATGCCACGTCACCCCCCACCCACCCTCCTGCATCCGCCAAATCCACCAACGACCCTCCCCACGTGACACGTCACACCCACCCTCCCCATGCCACATCACCCCCACCCACCTGACACGTGTAGCGTCGTCACGCGCCGCTCCCGTGTACCCTTCCAAGCCGCCACGTCAGCACCAAGCCACACATCCCGCCACGTCACACGCCCTTGCGTCTGCCACGTCAGGGATCAGCCAGCCCCACGTGACACGTCACACCCACCCTCCCCATGCCACGTCACCCCCCACCCACCTGACACGTGTAGCGTCGTCACGCGCCGCTCCCGTGTACCCTACCAAGCCGCCACGTCAGCACCAAGCCACACATCCCGCCACGGCACACCCTCCTGCATCCGCCACGTCAGGGAGCAGCCAGCCCCACGTGACACGTCACACCCGCCCACCCCATGCCACGTCACCCCCCACTCACCTGACACGCGTCGCCTCGTTGAGCGCTGCTCCCTTGTGCCCTTCCAAGCCGCCACGTCAGCACCAAGCCACACATCCCGCCACGTCACACGCCCTTGCGTTCGCCACGTCAGGGATCAGCCAGCCCCACGTGCCACGTCATACCCGCCCACCCCATGCCACGTCACCAAGCCACCCACCGCACACACGTAGCGTCGTCACGCGCCGCTCCCGTGTACCCTTCCAAGCCGCCACGTCAGCACCAAGCCACACATCCCGCCACTGCACACCCTCCTGCATTCGCCACGTCAAGGAGCAGCCAGCCCCACGTGACACGTCACACCCGCCCACCCCATGCCACGTCACCCCCCACCCACCTGACACGGGTCGCCTCGTTGAGCGCCGCTCCCTTGTGCCCTTCCAAGCCGCCACGTCAGCACCAAGCCACACATCCCGCCACGTCACACGCCCTTGCGTCCGCCACGTCAGGGATCAGCCAGCTCCACGTGCCACGTCATACCCGCCCACCCCATGCCACGTCACCAAGCCACCCACCGCACACGTGTAGCATCGTCACGCGCCGCTCCCGTGTACCCTTCCAAGCCGCCACGTCAGCACCAAGCCACACATCCCGCCACGGCACACCCTCCTGCATCCGCCACGTCAGGTAGCAGCCAGCCCCACGTGCCACGTCACACCCGCCCACCCCATGCCACGTCACACCCCACCCACCTGACACGCGGCGCCTCGTTGAGCGCCGCTCCCGTGTGCCCTTCCAAGGTGCCATGTCAGCACCAAGCCACACATCCCGCCACGTCACACCCTCTTGCGTCCGCCGTCTAAACCCACCAACCCAACCCACTTGCCACGTCCCACACAGAGATCCGAAAGAGCCACGTCAGCCCCCGCCCACGTGTGGAGTCACGTGTCGCCCTGCACCGCTCCCGCGCACCCTTTCCAACCGCCAGGTCATTCCCAACCCTGCCCTGGTTGCCACGTCAACCCCAACCCGCCACATACCGGGAATGGGTTGGTCTCCTGCAGCACAAGCACACGTGCCTTGTCCACGGCACTCATCGGCGGCGGGGTACCACCCATCGGCACCACTGCGGCCCCCCCGGCATAGCTGGCAGTTGCTCCCCGAGGCAGGCCGAGCTGAGCAAACATGGCGTACATCTCAGACCGTAGCTGCTGGAACTCGTCTCGTGTAACAAACTGCCCGTGCTCTGCACCTTCAGCGAGCGCATCCATGACATCCGGAAAAGGGTGTGTAGAAACCCCTCTCTGGCCAAGGGGATCAACGTCTTCTACAGCAGCACCGTGTGCCCTCACACTATCACGCTGGCGGGAAAAGGGAAGCTCAGGGAAGGGATTGGCAAAGGTGCTTGGTTGATGCACACGCGATGGACCGGCGAGGGGGGAGACCGCCTTGCCCCGGGCTGGAGAAGCGTGTAGTGGCCGAAATGGGTATGAGGGAGAGGCGAGTGGGGAGTGCGTGACGGGGGCTGGTGGAGGGGATTCGGATTCCTCGCCTGTTGCCGCGCCGGGTGCAGTCGCAGCGACTTTGCTCGGGCCGGAGTATGGCGTGAAGAACCTTGGTCCTCTTGTGGATAGCGGTGCCACACTCGCTCTTCCGACCCCTTTCGCTAGCTGCATCCGTTGCACGGTTACCGGTGGCCCAATGCCTGTAACACGGGGGGCTGAGAGTCACACGGAGGATGAGCACGGAGCTGGTGTCTGTAAGGTGCATTTGGACACGTGCAAACATGACGAGCAACCGCATGATTCTAACATGGGTGTAGCACGGAACTGTAGTGTATAGTCACGCCTTACCCGGGTTAGCCGATTCGTCAACCTTCTCCTTCCCTGCGGCGGGAAAAGACGGGTGGAACACGGTGTTGTTAGGGTCTGTTCAGCACAAATCGCGGCAGCTATGCAAGTCGTTTGTGACACGTTGCTTACCACGTTGCTGTCCCTTCGGTTTTGCTGCCTGCTCCTTATCGTTGCCCCGTTTCCGCGGTGTGCTTTGGCGGGTGCTGCCTCGTTTACGGGCAGGTTCTTTCTTTGCCGAACTCCTCTCCTGCTCCTCATCCTCATCGTCCCCCTCATCATCCTCCTCATCGTCCTCATCCTCATCCTCCTCCTCCTCCTCCTCCTCCTCCTCCTCCTCCTCCTCCTCCTCCTCCTCCTCCTCCTCCTCCTCCTCATCATCGTCGCCCTCCTGCTCATCCTCGTCCTTTTCTCCCTCCCCTGCATCCTCGTCCTCCTCCTTCGCATCCTCCTCGGCCTCCTCCTCCCCATCCCCCTTGTCCTCAACATCCGCTTCACCAGGGCCTTCTTTGCCGCGCTTCGGCCTATTCCCCCCCGAAGATTGCTTCCCCCTCCGTCCGCTAGATGGTTTCCTCGGACCGGATCCCACCTTATGCCGCATTGCATGATCTGTCGCCAAGCCACTTGGCGCCGTGGTGCCTCGCATTGTCCCAACTTCAGCACCACCGGCGTCGTCACCGCTGGCTGTCGTCTGCCTCCTCTTCGCGCGTATGGGCATGTCCTCAGCCACGGGGGTGTCATTCTCCTCCTCACCATCGCTCTTCCTCTGCCTACGCCTCCCGCGTCCCCCAGAGGGAGGAGATCCACCTACGTCGGCAATGTCGTGTTTCGGCCCCTCCGTGCAATCGTGCGCAGCATCCTTCTCCTTATCTATCACTGCAGCAGATATTTCGACCACGTGCGGGTGGGGCAGCGTCAGATGCTGCTGCTTTGCCTCTGCCACGGACGTCGAAGTTGCGGCCTGATCTTGGCGGGGAGAGTCGCCGTGCTTTCCTCCAGTCGCAAAGCCCTCTCTGTCCCCCGACCGGACGGCAACACTCACGCCGCCATGCCCAGGGTCTTCGTTCCCGCCGATGGTGTCGTCGTCAGAAGGACCGGGCTCGAGGGCAGCAGTGGCAACATCCGCATCGCTCCTGACGGCCGAAACACGCTTGCGTGCCGTTGGTTGCTTCCCCTTGTCCTCCGCCTTCTTCCCGGGCTTCTGCTTTCCCACCTCAGCCTTTTTCCCCGCCGCACGTTTTGTTTGATTGGTTTGCGCGGCGGCCTTTTTAGTAGCCCTAGATCTGGCCCCACTCTCTTGGTCGGTCTGATGCGACATCCTTCGTGTTGTGCGTCGTTTCGCCTCCTCCTTGTGCTTTTCTGTTTGCCGAGTAGCAGGTGTCATGAGGGTGGTACGAATGCAAGTTTTAAATTGCGGGATTGGGTAGCTGAGTTTAAAAAAAAAAAACCGGAAAGGTTTGTTGCTATTTGACCCCGTCCCGGTGAAGCCAATACTTTTTCACCCTAAATCGGAAGGTACAATTACACCTGAATTAGTAGCTACTAAGCACATGGCGTCAGCCCTTTCCTTCGTCGCTACTCCGTCTAACTGGCGATTTGGAAACTCCTGTGTTCAGCAGCGAGCGGCGTCAAGGTAGTGGGTATGAGGGTGACGGAAGCTGGTGAGTGGGGCACGACGGTAGTTGGGGTGGTTTACGAGTCTATCGAGAGGACTGTAAGCAGAACACGCACCATCGGACGGTCTACGATTTGCCTCCCGATCAGAAACGCACTACACGCTTGATCACAGTCGCTGCTTCCGCGGCGAATGTCCAGCTTGGCTGGTGCGGTAGTGGGGAGGGTCGTTTGAGATGCGTCGGCCAATCAGCGCCAACGCATCAATCTCCACGGAATCTAGTACCGTTTCGACACCACCAATCATCACATCCTGCAAAATACAGTGCCTAGTGCAATGATCAAATTTTAACATAGTAGCTGAATACACTTGCAAAGTACAACTAAGACAATTTGAAGTGAATAGCCGTTTATGGTGTCATATGGTGTGAAGTTTAGTGAGTGCATGGGGCTTAGGATGCACTCTTTGTGCTTCCAACTCGTGGACTACGGAATGCTATACTGAGCACACATTGAGAATGGGCGACGAATACTGGTCGTTGGAAGTTGTTCAAGCACGACGTGTACTAGTGCCAACTGGAATGGAGATGTAGTGTGGTGTTGGCTTGGGCTCCATTCTTGCGTGATTTGAGGGTGTGGGATGAAGCACAGGCCCAACGCACGAGTGTTGATGCACAATCGACATCGCTGTTTAGTTTGGCGACGTTGCTGCGTTCGCATCCATACAATGCTTGCGCGACCAGGCGAATCCGTTGTGGAATGGTGTTGGATGGGGCTCCATTCTTGCATGGGCCCTCCGCCAGGTGCATAGAGGGTGTGGGATGAAGCACAGGCCCAACGCACGAGCGTTGATGCGCAATTGACATCGCTGTTTAGTTTGGCGACGTTGCTGCGTTCGCATCCATACAATGCTTGCGCGACCAGGCGAATCCGTTGTGGAATGGTGTTGGATGGGGCTCCATTCTTGCATGGGCCCTCTGCCAGGTGCATTGAGGGTGTGGGATGAAGCACAGGCCCAACGCACGAGCGTTGATGCGCAATCGACATCGCTGTTTAGTTTGGCGACGTTGCTGCGTTCACATCCATACAATGCTTGCGCGACCAGGCGAATCCGTTGTGGAATGGTGTTGGATGGGGATCCATTCTTGCATGGGCCCTCGCGCAAGGTGCATTGAGGGTGTGGGATGAAGCACAGGCCCAACGCACGAGCGTTGATGCGCAATCGACATCGCTGTTTAGTTTGGCGACGGTGCTGCGTTCGCATCCATACAAGGCTTGCGCGACCAGGCGAATCCGTTGTGGTACGGTGTTGGATTGTCATCTAACCTTGCACGGACATTCAAGTAGGTGCCTCAAAGGGGTATGAAGTAGAGCCACAACGCACAATCGGCGATGCGTTATCGTGAGGGCACGAAGTTCTTGTGTACTTCCCGTATGTTGCCAGACCACACTAGAGATCTTGTATGGTTTTTAGAATGTCACGTTGTCAACTAGGGGTGGATCTCGAGCAGGCATTTTCATGTGACCGTGTAGTAGTTATCATCAACGAGTTTAGTGTATAGATCAAATGCAATTGTACAATGTAATATCCTGCGCTGTATTTTGTCCGTTGTCGAGCTCACCACTGTGAGCTCACTAACGTGAGCGCGATCTCCCCCGTATAACAATTCGCAACTGAACTACAGATCCAAACGGATCTCTTCCCGCTCTTCCTCATCCCACTCGACTCTCACGCACCAAGAGTGCGTGAATCCACAGGCACGTCCTTCTCACCGAGCTCGCAACGCACACACAAGACCTACCGTCTTAGAATCAAGCGCATTCTCCGCTGCTCCATGTGCCTTGTCACGACCGCGCGGCGCGCACATCGTTAGGCACGTCCAAACATAAGCTGCCCGCTCAAGTGCCAGTCGTGCAGTGATACAAGCCGCCTTGAACAGTGCGCGGTTTGGCGATGACCGTGTTGCATTACCAGCCTTCTTGCACGGAGTACTTAATGCCTTCTCAAGCTTCCCACGACGCTCGTTGCTTCACAGGCCATTCCTCAACACTTAGACAGATCCGTACCGCATGGGCTCCTTACCTGGCGTCGTCTGCGAGTTTTGCAATAGATGGTTCCCCAACGCCCAAGTTTATGGCGGTCACAAGTCACGGCGGACCCCTTGCCAAGGCCTTTCCGCCCTGGCAAGGCCCTCGCAATCTGCACCATCCGCCGGACTACACACACTGCTATTCGTGCAAGAGATTCTGTCGGACGCTCCCGCTGCTGCCGCTTCACCTACCGCGTCTAATGCGTCCAACACCGACGCTGTGAATGGTCCTCCTCGCGTGCATGAAGCTGAAGATGACGCAACACCCTCGGCTGGGAACGTGGGGGCTTCTGAATTTGAGCATCAACCGCCACCCGGAACACCTTCTGATGACACGAGTGCGGATCCGGGGTGCCGCCCTGGAGTGAGTCACGCGGCCCCGCCGACAATCATCTCCGGGGAGAGCAATGCGACGCCCCTCAATCCGATTGCGTTGAAGCTGCTGCACTTCGTGAGGCGTGTAAATGGCGGAATGGGCATGGCGGAGATCGACATCAATGGCCTGCTTCAGCTCGTGGTGGAGCCCGGCCTTGCGCCTCTTGTGATCTCAGAGATCCGGAACTGCAAGGATCTGGAGAGGTTCGAGATGGAGCGCTTGGTAGGGCTCAATCGCGGATGGTCAGTGGCGACCTTCGAGATTGAGGGTCATCCTCCACAACTCCTCCTCTTCCAGAACTCTGCGCAGGTAAGCCGGCCGTGGATGCGTGGCTGCGAAATGCAGATTCCGCCTCCATTTGGTCCATGTGTGCGATCCGACCCTTCCCCGCTCCCGCCACTAAACCCCTGTTTGGTTCTCCCCCGCTCTTGATGCCGTACTCCAGGCTTTTGCTGAACTGTTTGGGCACACCAACAACGCACCCGGCTTCAAGCTCAAGGCTCGTGTCGATGAGGACCATGGCACAGGCGAGCGTCGCTATACCACGCCAGAAACTAGAACGTGGTGGAACGATGCTCAGGTATGTAAATACCCCGCTGCCACCCAAAACCACACGCGTGCGCCGTCCTCCGTTGACGCGCTGATGTGTAGGGAGCATCTTCAGTGCGTCATGTTAGTGGGGAGTGTTATGTACCATGCTTACTCCGCCAGGCGACACATTACCTTGGTGGTGTTTGACCGTGGGGGTTTTCCGTCTTTGTCGTGCATGCAGGAACACTTCGGATGGTCCGAAGTCGTGGGGGGTATCATCCTATATTTGGATGTGACGCAAATGAGCAACAACGGCCAGAAGAAGGCGTGGCCGCTCATGATGACGCTTGCCAACATCTCCCAGGCCAAGCGATGGGGGAAAGCCGGGCACACGCTACTTGCTCTCCTTCCTATCCCCCCTTCGGCAATGTCTGCTGTTGAAAAGGTGATGCTCTTCCAGCGATACGTCCTCACCGTGCTGCAGCCGCTTCTGGATGGCATGGACAGGTCCGTACTCGATTTCCGTCATGCTATGTCGTCACCGTGTGCACAGCATAGTGTGCGCAGCGCTTTTGTATGTTGCATTACCCTTTGCCCCTCCTCGCTGATGCACAGAGTCGTCATGGCTGTTGACGTTACCACTCTACCCGTTCCTTGCAGCGGCTTCCGTCTCAGGGACCCTTTCGGTGATTGGCAAACAGTGCGGCCACTGCTGTACGCCTGGGTGTGCGACTACCTTGAGAGCGGCAAGATTAGTTGCACACTCTCGCATGGATCGCGGATGCCGTGCAGCATCTGCTATGCTGCAAAGGTGAGCAAACATGCCATGTGAACGCCTTCATCGCCATCGTCATCTGACTGTCACATGACGGACCTCCTAATTTTTTCACCCTTACCAGTTCATCCCATCCCACCCCCCGTGCTACACCAGGAGCCTTTAGTTGCTGTCAAGGCACGGAACACGCCGCGCACGCCTGAACAGCAGCAATGGATCGTGAATGAGGCGGCTGGATTGACATCAAGCCAGGCCGACCCATGCAAGACCTACTCGACCTACCCGGTTGAGGTGAGCGACCTGTCCACCGCGCTACTTTCCTGTCTAAGCACTCCGTGTTGAGAAGCCCTGGGGGAGATGTGCACTGCCATTGCACTGCCCCACATGTTGGCCGAGTCTCTCATATACCTTTCTCTACCATTCCCCACCACACCCCCTCCGCCAGTGTGTCCTCTGGAAATGGGATGTCCCAGGGACCGTGTGGGGCAATCCCTACCTCGTTATCATGCCTGACATCATACACCAGGCGGACCTGAGCATGATGAGCCACATTGTGGCTGTCGTGCGCAAGATGAAGAAGCGGCGCGTCAAGCAGATGGACAGGTTAGTGCCTTGGGGGATTACTTTCGTGTCAAGAACACTCCAATACGCACTCTCCTCCTACTTACATGCCCATGCATTTGTGCCGGCCTTGAACTCGGATGTATGCGCAGGCGCCTGTCCCTCATTCGCGACCGCACGCGCCTGAACCACCTGCGCCTGCCAGAGAGCGCCTACTTCGAGAGTGGAGCATGTGTCGCGGCCTATGAGCACAGGGCCGTCATGCAGGTGAGCAAGCCATGGTGCATGTGATCCTCGTGAGCGACAGCATGCACCATGCTGAAACAGGATGCTGATTCCAGGCTACAACACCCCCCCTGCTGCATCCTAGT